CTTAAAACCCAGCAATAAACACTTCGAAAAGATTTTCTCCTCATATTTGGGTCTCAGTTTCGCTATCTTTCTTGGGTCTTTACCAAGAAATGCAGTTTCTTTGGTTGGAAGACTTCAGAACCGCAACAAGGAGCTAACTTTTCAGCTTATTGACACAGAGGAGCAGTTAAAGCAGCTACTTTTCAGGAGAAAAGAGGATTCAAAGGCAAATGCAAGAGTTGTGGAAATCTTTGCAAGTCATAGACATGCCTGGCAGCAAGAAGAGAAGAGGTTGTTACAACAGATCGATGAGTGTGATGAAGAAATTGCTGAGTTAAGAGGGAGAGCTGAGCAGTTTGAGACAATGGAAAGTGAGTTAAGGGCTAATATTGAGGACTTGAAAAGGGAGATTAGTGAAAGAGATGAAATGTTGAACTTTATGAGTAGAAGGGGTTGTGAGATGGAGAATAGTACTAGTGGAGATGGTGGGAGTGATGGTGTTGGAGATTGCTATGCTGAAATGGGTTTAAGGTTTGGGAAAGTTGGGATATCTGAAGGGATGGATTTGGGGGTAGGGATGGAAGAGTGTTACTTGGCTAATGGGATTCCTAATGCTGAACAAATGAGTGGTGTTTATGGACAGAGTAATGGGTTTAACTCAGAATACTTGAATTCTGCTTCTAAGTTTTGGGCTGAAAAAGCTAGTCCTTGGCAGGTATGATCCATTCATTCTTTCTTTTTGGGAACTTTTTTGTTCTTTATAGTTGTTGTTATTTGAGGTTTTATAGTGAGTGTTGTCATAATGTGGTAAATAAAACACAAAGTCCTTTCCAGGATCTTCATATGTAGGAAGAATTTGGACTAAAATTTGTCTCTTTTATGCTTGTCTTATATTTGGTTTTCCATGGTGGAACTTATGAAAAAGTTGCTTCTTTTATTTAACCATGGGATTGTACTTTAAGTACTATCTGATATTCTTTCTTCTTGGTGTTTATCTGTTTGTTCATCTTAAGGCTGTGGAATTTGTTTTTGTATGTGATATCTGATGAAACAGATGATCCAGAGCAATTGTGGATGAACAAAATTAAAAGTAATAAAATGTTTGGCTGATAGAGTTCTTGGTGAAGTACAGACCTATATGAACTTTCTTCACATACCTGAAAATTTCACAGGAATATCCAGTTCTAATTGTTTCTGATAAAGCTGAAATGAAGGTGTTTCTCCAGGAGTAGTTCAGCGCCAAATTTAAATTGAATTGTATAATGATTACATTCTGAGATGCTTATTAATGAAATATGTAGTTTAGTGTGTACTCAGTTACCTCCTACTTGTCTTGTGATTTGTCTTTATTGTTGAGACTCCTGTCTCTGTTATCTAAAATTTTGAATGGTTTGATCTACTTGGTGGCTACTGAAGTTCAAACTACCCACGATATGGTTTTCTGTTTACTAAATACTCACCTCAACTGTTCATTTTTACTCTATACTGGTGTTATGGACCACTGCTTGAAAACCAGGTCATCGTTTCGTACTTTTCTTCTTTCACCTTTTTTGTCCTATTAGAGGTTTGCAATTCTTGCTTCAAGAATGGTCCCCTTTGGCTGAATACTTTGCATGAAGGTTGGTTTCCTGGTTATGAAGGAAGCTCAAAAAAATGTATTCGGATTAACTCTAGAAATCCGAAATCCATTTAAAACGGACCGTTTTGTTGGCATAGAACTCTGACCCTCCACCAACTAATGACATCCAATTATATATCCCCTTTGGTTAGGGAAGTTCAATTCTGGTTAAAATGGATCCTTTTATCAGCAAAGGATGGGCTGTTATCAGTCAACATCTAGTCGATCTGTTATATTTCTGTTTAAGATTCATCAACCTCAATGGAAAGATGTCCTTTCCTTTTCTTGTTGCAAGCTGTATCTTGTCCTTGTCTGTCTATGTATCTTATTTTTCCAATTACAATGTTAGCTTTGGTAATGTGTTACATATCCTCAAATTAAAGCAAGTGCCTCCATGAAACTTGAACTCCCTAAAGCCGCCTCTAATCCAGGCACTTATCTTTCCCATTCAAAAGTATCACTGAAACATTTCCCCTATACTTGGTGGATGTGTCAAGTTTGGACTAGGTAGAGATCACACATTCAATTTGTGGCTGTGTTTTTTGTCTTTTGTCATTTTTCTCTTTATTATATAAAAGAGAAGATCTGGATTTTCTTAACCTTGGTACAGACACCCTTTTCATTTATTTGGAACCAGAGGAAACTGGAGCATTTCACTATGTTGTCTTCAACTTTAACAGAAAGGCTAAAGAAAACACATGACAACCTTAAAAAAAACCTAAGTTACCTAACTATTAGTTGATCTATGCCTTGTGAGCTGGTTAGGGATAAAGTCAGATTTACAATGGTTAGAGCAAAAAGAGAAATAAACATCTAGATCACAATGCTTGAATTCTAGTTTCAAGCTTGGATGGTAGGAGAAATGAGGTTCTTTTGACTCTTATTCAGCTTCTTCCTTCTATGTGAGATGTCATACCTATCTTAGTAAAACCAGCTTGGTAGTTAGGATGCTATTGGGTCTGAAGAAAATGTGTTTTCTTAATGCAGGATATGCAGTATGATTCTGCCGATTCACTTCACCATTTAAAGCATTTTGTAGCAAGGTAAACATTCTGTGATTAGAGAAATGCCTAGACGTTTGCATTTTGACATTGAAGCAACTAACTAGGGTGATCCCTTTTGCTTTCTCAGAAGAGAGGCCCCTTGGAAGATAGACGGTGAATCAACAGGAGTCTCCTCCAAACTAAAGTTACTTGAGCAGGAGCTACTTAATTTGGAAAAAATTGGGAAGACTGATTTATCTAAGGTACCATCATCAACGCGGAAGCAAGTAAAGAGATACCAAGCTCTTGCTGGCAAGATCGATGATCTATGCAGAAGAATGGTAATTACTGCATCTCCGCAAGCTTATTGATTAAAACTTGAGTATATGGATTCCAAAGCTTGCTACATGCATGCTTAGGTTTCTCTAAGAATGGACAATATGTATGTTTTTTCTCAAAAGAAATCGAGATCAAGAAATACACATAGCTCATCTTTTTTATGTGAAATGGATTACCTCATGCATCTATAAGGCTAGGTAATGACTACTTTTATCTATTGGACTTGTTCGGAGAAGGTAATAAACTAGTCTTGATTACATATGCTGACTCAAATATTTAGATGTTAGGTTATACTCTTAGCTTGCATGACTAGGCCTTACAATTAGCTTTTTACCTAACACAAACATACAACTGATAATGATCTCCCTCCCTCTTAGCAGCAGGCCAGTGATCCTTGTGAACCAAACCTGAGTCCTGAGTTCCGGACCCAAAGACAGACAGAGTTTTTGCTTGAAGCATTTCGACTTCAGCAGCGTGCATCTGAAACTGCACAGAAATTGATGGCACTACAAACTGACAGCGGAAAAAGTTATTACGGGGACGAATTTGAAGGTCAAGCCCAACTAGCCACTAAACGATCCTTTGACTCCATCCGGAACAACTTAAAAGAAATCCAACGGAATTTAGAGATATGGCTTGCCAGAATTATTGGGGATCTCGAGGGAATCCTTTCTCGAGATGGTGCTTCTCGTGTAAGGGATTATTACATATCTAGATATCCTTTTGTTCAATAGTCATGTTAACACATGCTCAGTAAAATCATGATTGAAAAATATAGTTTCTCTTTTGATTAGTTTGTCCTCCATGCTATTGAAAAAATGATGTATAGCTCCAACTGAATGAACAATATGAGGTTGATAAGTCCATTTATGCACATAAATTTGCTTCACAGAAGCAAACTATTAATGCTAACTAGTAGTACTAAAAAGAGTGAAGATTTTTGACAGAATTATTGCTGGATGTCACTATTCCTGATCTGGATGCTTGTCATTTACTAGTTTTACTTGGTCCTGGTCTTTCTGGATTAAAAAGTTGAAAGGATGGTATGGTCCTTACTCCTTAGCAACTGGATAAATGTCATGTCTACTCAAATCTGGCAAACATTAAATATTTGTGGACCAGGCTTTACGACCCCATTTGATTTGAAATCAGATTGATTTTAATATCTTTGTTTGAATTCTTAAGGCGTATTTATTATTCTTTTAAACATGGAAACCTCATCTTTTGTGAAAATTATCGAAAGACCTTTTCAATTAACAAGCTTAGCAAATGAGCAAATCATATTTTTCATGAATAAGATATCAAAATATTCTAGGACGTTGAATTAATAAGTTATATAGCTTCATGTTACTTGTATAAATAAATATTTGTAATTATATGTTATTACCAACTTTCAAATATATATAATTTTACAAAGATTACATGGTTCAATAAACCAAACAATAGTAATAACTATCTTTTGATAAAGTTTTTCACACGGTACAATCAATTTCTTCGCCGATTTTTTTTTTTCAGATTTAAAATTATGGATCTTTTCTTGTAAAAATTAGGTGATTTTTTTTCTCCTCTACCTAGTTGTGGACATGAGTTCATAAGTCAATCATCGCTAACTAAAAGGATAGTTAAGGATGTGTTACTCTCAATTCTCAAACAACCCTGCATATGATTCAAATTTAGTTAGAGCTTCAATGTGGGTTTTGATGGGTGGAAAATAAAATAAAATAAATAAAAAATCATCCCTAACTATAATAATTTATCATTTTAAAATAGCTTGGCTAAATCTTTTACTATTTCATCCTCCATATCTTTGGTAACTTCTTAAGATACTCTACCTAAAATATAATACTCCCTTCATTTTATCACAATACCTATTAATTAATGTATAGTAACAATAAGTAATTTATATTGAAGATAAAATAGGAAAAAATAATATTTTTTTTCTTGATATGTTAATTAAAAGAGAAAAGTAAAGATTTCCAGATGGAGTAACTTTCAACCATCTCTGTTCTATTTCTGTCAAGCAGTGCAGTAAGGTTTTGAACCAAGTTGTTAATCACTCAATATAAAGAAACCAAATTCAAATTTTAAGGGGTTTATTGATAGAAGGTTCAAAGATACTTATAGCAGTAATTTTTTTCCTAGCCAGGAAAAGCATACACCTGCTGTTACACTAAAATCAGACAAGCCACATAGTCCAATTCCAATAACAATTTAACAACATAGATAGATGAGCCTTATGCTGAAGCAGCACCTTCTTCCAGCAACTGTTTCACCTTGGTGATGTAGTCGTTCATGGCTTCATCGGTGGATTTTCCTGCCATAGATGCATACGGTGTAATTAGTTGTGTTTCTCATACAACCAAGAGAAAGGAAATCAATTTGAACACTGTTAGATCACATACCTTCAACAGCCTTCCATGCATCCCACTTTGCTCTGTCTCTCATGTTGAATATGCCAGGACGGCCTGCCCATAAGAAAGGGCGTAAGAACAAATTGTAGCTAGTTTGAGACCAGCAAGTACATATGCACAAGACATTTCAAGCATTATACTCACTTGTGTTGACATTGCCAACGGTGGCTTGCTTGTAAAGCCCGTAAAGAATCAGCTTGTTCTCATTGGTGGTACTCTCGGGCAATGTCTTAGCTTTCTCAGCGTGCGCTTCAAATTCCTCCTGAAACCCAAATAGTTCGGTAAAAAGGTGTAAAGTTAAATTTCCAGGTATACTTTCCTAGTGATAAAATAAGGATGAGACACCAACTGAATAGTGGAGATGAACAGAGTTTGTGAATCAAGAGGGGAACTGAAGTTGTGGAAATCTAAAATACAAATTGAGTGTTCCTTCATGGGGTTAATGAAACGTTTGGAGTTATTGGCCAAAAACATCCTTAAACTACATCCCTAACTTAAATTACATCCTTGTATTATTCTTCTTAACAAAAAACATTCTTCAAGTATTTTAAACTTAACAACTTCCATCCTTCTATTAAAATTTGACAAAAGATTGACCGAATTCATACAAAATATGTGTAATTCATACTACTCTAAGCAAAACTCCCTAAATCACCAAAGATTAAAAAAAATCTCTTCATTCCGAGATACATCTAAAATATTATTGTGAATTCTTTTTGGCAACAACACTTGGCATTTTGCAGATCCTTTTATTAGCACTTTTGTTTTAATTTATTTTTCATTTGATTTGATATTAAAAGAAAACAGTTGAAATATTTTTTTCACATTGAAACTGCAAGAAATGGTGGCGACTTGAGACTTTTACTTTTAATAATGGGGAACAATACTCGAGTGTCATATATGAAATTCAAAATCTTGATCACTTCAAATATCAAATTGCCCCGAAAAATTGTTGATCTAATTACATTTTGACTTTACAGAAGGTGAAGATGATGTGAAATTAAGCTCCAGCTTTGTTAAGTTGGTAAAGGAGAAGAAGAGCAGATCATGTCTCTTTGCAACACTATCCTAACTTTATTTCTTTTCAGCAAATAATGGTCTCAAAAAAATCAAAAAAAAAATTCTGGGTGGAGCTTTTTCCAATGGGTAATGAAATTATGTGGGAAAAGTTTAATTGAAAGCTATGTGACCGGCACAACGTTTTTGTGTAAAATCCATTAATTATTTGACAAATTTTTTAACAAAAGGATGAAAGTGGTTAAGTTTTAAATACCTGGGGGATGTTTTCTGTTAAGAAGGATAATTTAAGGATGTAGTTGAAGTTGAGGGTGTATAGTTTAGGGATGACTTTGGCCAAAAACTCAAAAGTTTGCAATTCAGGATATCAAATATGTACAAATTCATTGATGGACAGGTTTATGGTTAGTTGAAAGAGTATTTGCACATTCCTCAACATTGTAAAAGATTCCGCTGGCCAACATTTTGCTTTGACCATGTTAAGATGCAAATTTTAGAGACACTTATGTGTTGTCATACGGTTCTTCAACATAGCCCTGACTTGTGAAATTATTTTTGAGGAATTCCAGGTAGAGAAGTAGGGATCACTTTTTCCTTTTCCTCTTCTAGAAATGTTACTATTTATACATCACAGTGAAGCACCAAAAACATCCTCAGATAATAATGTATTATGACCTCTTCGGTTAGTTTACTGATTTGCCCTGTTGGTTACCCTATGATTCAACCATTACCTCTCAGTAGCCTATATACTTGTGGTAACAGGAATCCTTTTAGACGAGGCGACTGGCCAACCAACAATTTTTCTAGTCACTTAAAAATAGGTCAGACTAAATTACATTCACTAGGTTATGAACAGCAGAGAAATCTCAAAGCCTGGCTGAACACAAAGTGCACATTTCTTTCAATTTCTCCCCTTCCTCAATAAAAGAAACATGGAAGGGTGATGATAGGTTTTTGACCAGGAAATATAAACTAGTCCTAGACTAGGCAATACGGGATAGGTAAGAGAAAGAAGCTGGTGCTATCTCATATTCAATTTTTGTTAGACTATTTACACAGAAGTTGGCCAATGTAGCACTATATAAATTCGAGAAACAGCAATCTGTTCACTAATAACATTTTGATGGCCCTAACTGCACATGAACTAATAGTAATCTGATTCTAACATCTCGCTCCCTGGATTTAGTCATCGACTTAAGCTTCAAAGTATGCACCACATATATAGCCAATAATATCAACAATCTCAGAACCAAAAGAAGAAGACTTTCAGAAGATGAAATCTTCAAAACATTGTTGAAATTGTGGACTACTTCTGGGCCAGAAACAATACATCTTTGAATAATATATGCCTTTTAATAAGGCCAAAAATGACATATACAAATTCCGACCAAAGTACTACTCATCTGCCATTACATCCGCACTACTTTTTATCTAATTCAGTGCTTACATCGCCATCATTACCATAAATCTTTCAAGTAGGCCAAAAACACAGTGCACAAATTCCTAATAACAACTTATGAAAACATTTGATTGAGCTAAAAGAGATGTCTCCTTCTCTCTCGGTGCATTTTAGCTAAAGTGCGCCAGCCAAGGGCAAGAGGGTTCGACAGCCATCTCTAAAGGCGCAAATGGCAATGGAAGATCAGAATTCGAAAACAGCAGACTTAAGAGGACAGAAACCAATCGCAGCAGCAAGTATGATAACTAGGAGAGCAATGGAGAATCAATAATCGAAGGTCCAGGATGGGGTAAAAAGCACATCACCAGCTACTAATGAGTCCAGATCTGTAGGATTTGCAGAACAAGGGACACGGAATGAGATAGGTGAGACACCGATTGCTGTAAATAACCAAGTCCCAGTGGCAGCCAATGGAACAGTGACTACAGATCCAGTTGCAGTTCCTAGTGTTTGATAAAATTGCTCTGAAAGCAAAGCAAAAGGAGGCACAACAATGGATGGATGTGGAACTAGATGCTAGTGGGAAATCAAAACCTACTAGTAGCAGAAGAAATCTTGGGCTGAGGCAGTAGAAAAGGAATTGGGAATGCCCGAACTGAAGAGATCAGTATGGGATAACGTTGATATTGCAAAAGTGGTCAATGCAGGATTCAAACTGGACTATGTGGCTCCAACCACACTAGGTGAATCATCATTTGTTGAAATCGAGCTGGAAGATATTACTTCTGAGATTGAATATTGGCAGAATACAGTAGTGTGCTATGTATTGGGTGCTCACCCTCCATTTACTGTTTTGAAAGGGTACGTTCAGAGACTATGGGGTAAACATGGGATTAACAAAGTTGTGATGTTGAAGAATGGGGTAGTCCTTGTCAGGTTTGATACAGCAATGAGGTGATCCAGGGAGGAATATATCATTTTGATAGCAAGCCTTTTATTGTAAAAGTTTGGACTCCTGCTATGAAATTTTCAAGAGATGAATTGTACACTGTTCCCATTTGGATAAAACGGCCAGGACTAGATTTCAAGTACTGGAGTCAAAAAGGATTAAGATTGGGAGTTTGGTTGGCAAACCACTAATGGTAGATCAAAGTACAGAAAAAAAGACTTGGACTAAATTTTGCCAGACTACTGGTTTAGGTGGGGATGAATGCAAACCTGCCAGATAATATAATGTTCAGTAATGAGAAAGGCAATCTGACAGAGCAAAAAGTATCCTATGAATGGAAGCCTACACTATGCAAACATTGTGAGAAGTATGGCCACTCTGCAGATGTATGTAGGAAGAAGAAAGCCGAGAAGCCAAGGGTGGAGAAACAAGATCAACAACAAAAGGAGCTGCAAATAACCAAGGGATCCACACAAGCCAATGCTAACTCATCACTACCAGGAAGAGCACAAGTAAATGAAGGAACAAGCCAGAAGAAGGTCAATTCACCAAGTGGGAATCCAATACCAGGTTGCCCCTCTAATAAAAGGCAATCTGGTCATGAATACTGGATTACCCCACTAAGATTTGGGAGAAGTACAGATTTGCAATACCAAAATCAGGAGATTACTAGCTTAAATACATTTAAGGTATTAAATCAACAAGCCACTTCTTTGGTACCTCTGAGTCCAAGATCTGTTGGAAATGGTGGACAGAAGACCATCCCATCTTCTGGAAATGGTTAGCATCCTAAGTTGGAATGTTAGGGGGCTAAATGCTCCTAATAAGCAGAAGGAGATCAAGCTCCTTTGCAATGAGGAAAGAGCTGGTTTAATTGGGCTGTTAGAAACGAAAGTAAAACAAAATAAAGTAGATCGGTTAGCTAATAAAATGTTTGGGGGATGGCAATACATTACTAATTTGGAGCATCACTATAATGGTAGAATATGGATTACTTGGAAATCAAATTTTTACCATATAGTTCCAATTAGAATGAATGCTCAGGCAGTTACTTGTGAAGTGTGTTATGTGCCTCTACAAATGTACTTTCTAGTAACATTTGTATATAGTTGTCAATGGAAATTTTACAATGTTACCAAAAAAAGAAGCATGGCTGATCTGCTAACGAATCGAATTACTTTTCTCAACTACCTCAGTATTTAAATCGTAATCATTAGCATAAATCTTTCAACAAGGCCAAAAATGTACTGCATCCAAACCACAGAATGAACTGCTAGACAAGAACTCTTAAACATCAATTACACCAACAGATCAGATCAACCCAATAACAGAGTTCTCACACTAAATAAATAACCAAACAATCCTTCCATTTGGGTCTCTTAATCTACATTCACGTAACACAGAATCCACACAGCACAAGCTGCACAACCGACAAAGAAAACTAACTAACAGATCCGCAAAAACCAATTGAACAACACTAATACAACACAAAACCCAGAATTAAAAACGAAAATTAATCTCAGAAAAATCCTTTTCACCGTCAAAAAGATTAACACTCACTGAACCCACTTCAAACAAGATAAATACATACTGGAAGGAAAAAAACAGAAATCTAAAGGGGCTTTAGACAATTTACCTTCAAAGCCATGATGGAAATCTGATCTGCTTAGCTTGATAAGAACGCGAGAAAACTGGAGAAGAAGAGGTGTGTGATTGTGATGGAGATTGAAGGAGGAGGGTGGCTGTATATATAGTGGAGTATTTAGCATTTTAGCATAGGAAATAACGTAATATTCGATTATGATAATCTAAACAAGTTGGCGTGTAAAGTTGCACCGCTGCACTTGGATCACTTACTAGACATAGTGGACCCAAAAATATAGTGTAGACTAGAGCGGTTCACAATTTGGATAAAAATCAATCCAAATTGAAAAATTGAATCAAATTGATAAAATAAAACCGATTTTATTTGGGTTTGGTTTTAGATTTTTGGAAAATCGGTAGTATTTGGTTTGGTTATAGTTTTATTCGAAAAAACCGAAGAGATAACCGAACCAAACCGATGAATTATATACATATATTTTTATTAATATACATACTTAATATATTGTTTTTATAAACAATTTTAAAGATCTTATATATATTTTCATTAAAATTTCTTTATAATTTACTTATTGAAAGCAAAAATGCTCATGATGAAAACATTTATTTTATTGATTTCATGTATATGAGTATCTATGACAATTCTTTGTGGAACTGAAAATGTTATTGTATCTTCCTTTTAGGTCAATATAGTGAATTTTAAAGCTTTATTGATAGTAAATTTAGTGATCGAAAGTTCAGTAATTTAAGTCATTCAAACTATTTTTCGTTTTGAATGGATTGTTGTCACTTTTTTTACATTTTGAATGAATTGTTTCTTTTGTTTTTGTGTATGGTTAATAACCGAATCAAACCAAACCAAAACCGATAACCACCGAACCGATAAATGTATATTATATTTGGTTTGGTTTGATTTTGATAATTTTAAAATCGATTAAGTTGATTTGATTTTGATTTTGACCAATAACCAATCCAAACCGATCCGTGAACACCCTAGTGTAGACTATGGACCTATACTATGTGAGCTCCACAACATGTAAATTGTTGGGCTTCTTACCTAAATGTACTGTAGTCTAAATGTATGCGTAATTGGACGAATATTTCTATCATATATACTGATTCTTTTTATTATATATTGTTTAACAAATTAATAACTTAATATCACATTTCAAGTCATAAACACCTAGATATATGTATTTTTATTACCAGATATATTCAAATAGGGAGAGAGGCAAGCGAAACCCGCAGATACATGCGAATAACACTAGATACAAGGATACCAGATACAAGGAAAGAGGCTAGAGAGAGAAGAGAGTGCCGAATGAGATAGAGGAGGGCCGAACGAGAGAGAGAGTCAGGTACATGTAAATTCACTTGGATATTGTGTATCTAGAACAAATTACACCTATTTTTGACCTAATGTATCCGAGATACATGTATTTGGACGCGTCATATACCTGTATCAAGAGTTCAAAATCTAATAAGATCAGTAACATTGCAAACTAACGTGAATCTTAGTAATTAACTCCTAAAACTAGTGTGATATCACTAAATTACCCATTTGTTCCTACTACCTGAAATCTCCTCTAAATAGCTTTAAATTTTACATAAAAAATTTTCTCGATATTTTGAGTCTATCACACGAAATGATTCACATTAGCAAAAGATCAAATTTTAAAGCTCTTCAATAACAGACTAATTCATCCACTATCTCAATCTCTTCACCACTTTCCATCGCCTCAATTCGAATGCATTCAAAGTTGTCTAGTCTGAACTACCCAAAATAGAAAGTGTTAATGCGAGAAAAGCAGGAAGCAAGAAAAACTCCCAGGGTTTTAAAGCTCCGATTCAGTGCAATAGTTGAATATTACGCTTTATCACATTTCGATAGTTACAAAAATTAAATCAGTTGCTTCTTAGACACATTATGCTTTAGAGCATTTGTATTGTTTAATTCCATCTTATCCAAAATAAAGAGAGATTAATCGACAGGAGTCGTATAACCAAGTATAAAATTAACTTCATTTGTAGTCTTCTGGACGATCCAAAATTCATGTAAACCAGAGTTCTTAAAACGGGCTGGCATCATTATAATTTCAAAAAGAACGGCACAACAAAAACAAGCTACGGAGCTAGTACAAGCAGTAACTTATCAATCACAATTTTTTAAAACTGACACGTTCACTTAGCTAGATGTTGAAGAATGCAGAAACAGGAGAGGAACAGGTCTTGCGCTAATCAAAAGATTTGCATAATTTCACAAACAAAACAAAATCCTCGAATAAAATGAAAAACATTAGTTCCTCAAAATAATTGTATGATAAAACTTTCACCACAACGCCTACCAGAAAGTTGATAATGCTTAACAGACTACAGAACCGACTCTTAATTGCTTATTTCTTCTCTTCCTTTTCTGCTTCAGCTGCCCTCTTCAACCTGGCTCCCATATGTCGAGCATTTGTACGCTCAATACGAAGCTTGCCATAGGCCTTGAATGATTTCATCTCATCTGTGACCTTCACAAAGTCAACAGCAGGCTGCTCCCTAGTAATAGGCAGGTATGAACCCTGGACCTGGGTGGCAGTAGCAAGTTCCTCTGCACTAGAATCACCAGCCTGGAAGAGAGAGTAGTCAAGGTGAATTTAAGGCAAGAAGTGTTTACATACCATAACAGGAACCCAGGGAAGCACGGTAAAGAACAACAATTTTTGAATTTACCTTGACCTTCTTAGCACGCCTTGGGAAGATAACTAGCTTAGCCTTGTAGGTCTTAAGCCTCTGGACATTGGTTTGGAGACCTTCCAAGGATCTGTTCCTGCGGCGATGATCAACAGCAATGCCTATGGTTGGTGCTAGCTTTTTGGGAATACCAGCTGCCTGAAAACCAACACTAATCATTAATGACAAGATTAAATGTACAAAAGAATCTAGAAAATATGGAACTTGACAAAAGAAATTCTTCTTTTAAACAATGGATTGGTTTTGGTTGATTGTGCTTTTACTGGGAGCAAGTTATACAGCAAATGGCATACAAGTAACTAGAATTGTACCTTCAGTTCTTCAAGAGAGAATCCCCTGCCAGCACGGACTTTCATGTTGTATTTAAGTGTTTGTCCATGAACAATAGGTCGAAGTGAACCAGCTGTTGGCCTAGGGAAGATCTTCACAGCCTTCTGCTGTCTAGCTGTTGACAACATAATAAAAGAGAAATACGGAAATGTTAGTATTGCACAACCAAATTTGAATTTCAAAATGAAAATAATCATGCCAGAAACTCAGTAAGCAGATAGCATACCAGCACGTCTCCTTGTTTTCCTAGCAGGTTGGTTGAACCATGTCCTTACATAGTTCTGCCAATGCTTCTTGAAGTGCCCATTGGGAATAACATTGTTGTGCTTCATGACTTACCTGCATTTGCAATGAAATGACATATCAAACAAGCATCCATCAGAATGCAACTGCTTTCATCCACAAAATAGAATAGAACTATTCTATTCCCAGTTCATAGTTATCTTGACTTTGATTTTGTTATTCACACAGAAAAATCATATTCCATCAAAATAACACAATAAGCAGCAAAGCAAGCCAAATAAAAACTGATAAAATCAACCAAATACACAAAAAGTTATAGATGAGCAAGTAAAACTACTCGAACAAATGTTCTTTCTACTCGCTAAATGCTACTTTTCTGGCATTACATCTCTCAAAGTTTCTTTCACAAGGCTAGTGACTACATATAGTCGAGTTTACAAGCATTTCTTTGACACTTTCTCGATGAAATCATCAGGCTCATTAAAAAAGTACTCCTGGCATGGTCTTTTTAATCATAGACATAGTTATTTTTACTGTGAACTGAGTATACATACAGACACAAAATCCGCTAGCTGATTTAAATAGTAATCATACACAACGAGAAGATATTGTAAGATCCTAAAATGCAAAAACGAGATTTTTACGAACTACAGGTCACATTCAGAGCGAGCGATTTGACCGAGGTTTACTGAGGCTAAACATAACCTGATATCCAATTTCCTCTTTCAATTGAAAGGCACTTCCCTACACACACTGATTTAAACAAGTATCCTACATTGCAAGCTTATCAAGGTATATCAATATGCATATCAGATCATCAAAACTGAGGCACTACGCATAAAAACGCAAAAAATTCAAAAATTATCAGTTAAGAACAAGTTTATCTACCTAAACACACATTTTCAAATCAATTATATTTGCATTATACAAATTCAATAACAAGTAGCTTACAAAATCAACTGAGGATTATTACTTGAGAAATTTCTAGGTGAAAGACTGAAACATACCTGGGGGTTTGGGGGCTAGGGTTCTGGAGGCAATGGAAGAACAAGGGCTCAGCAAAAGAATTGTACTTCGCTTTTATAGGGCTGAACGAAAAACCCTAGATTTTAAAAGGCCTAAAAATGGATTTCCGAATGGGCTGTTCATTTGGGCCGATGTACTTTTTTTTTTCTTTTTTTCCATGGCCAGTTTACTCTATGGGCCACAAATTGTATCCAGTTTAGAAATCGGCCCAGTCCACTTTATTGGACAAAGACTAGCCCGTAAGAGTTCAATTGGGTGCACAAATATACAATTATTAGGATCCTTATTCAAAGATTGAAAAATTATCCCAGCTAGTAATCTTGATCCATATATTTTAAACTTTATAGAGGTACTTTTGGGAAAATTACATAGCATAGCAAGACTATGTGTGTGTGTGTGTATATATATATATATATATAATGTATTTGTGTATCTTAAACCCCTACTCAACACTGTTAGCTCCAACCTCACTTGTTTGTTGTCGTTGAAGTTTATTGGAGTTTTAGTTGACCGCTGAAAAATCAATGTTGTTTCATTGAACTTTGTCAGATTTATGTTTTATACATACATTGGATTCAATTGGTCAGACATGTAATTGATGTTTTCACATACATTCAACTTCTACTTTGAAAATGCATATACAGTTGGTCACACATACCTTCAACTCCTATTTTAAAAACACATATATAGATATATAATGGTTGCATATAATATACATACAATTACAA